AAATATCAATGCAAGACTATTGGTACATACAATCACAGCAAATTAATGTTATATATATACATATATAACATTAATTTAAGGGTTTGGTATGACCCATACCAAACCCTCAGTCGATGTAGCAGCACTCCACTGCGAGTCAGGCTATTTGTCAGTCGATGTATGTACTGAAGCCCCCGGCAGCAGGCTATTTGATGTTAGGTAAAAAACACCTAACTCAGCAGTATAAGATATATACACATCATTATTTTGCTGTGATTGTATGTACAAATTATATATATATATATATATTTATATATATATATATATATATATATATATATATATATATATATATATATATATATATATATATATATATATATATATATATATATATATATATATATATATATATATATATATATATAAGTTCAAACTAATAGTCAAGCAACAGCACGATTTTGTTAAAAACAAATTATGCTTAACGAATCTACTTGAAACACATGATTTTTTTTCAACCGCCTTAGAGAATGGTAAACCTGTTATTTTTTTGGATTTCTCCAGGGCATTTGACGCAGTGCCCCATAAAAGATTGTTGCTTAAACTTAAAGCTTATGGAATATCTGGTCTGACATTATAATGGATTGAAGCATTTTTAAAAGAAAGAAAAAAAAGAGTTGTGAGTTGTAGGCAAAAATGTATTCTCTTGAGCAGAAATTACTAGTGGTGTGCCACAAGGGTCAGTAATTGGACCACTCTTGTTTAAATTATTTATAAACAATTTACCTGAAACTCTAACCAAGCTGTATGCAGATGACACCAAAATTTTGAATGAAATGCTTTCTAGTGAATTAACTCTTTATTTGAAACGAGATCTTGATTTAGCTTTAAAGTGGACTCAAGACTGGCTTGTGAAATTTAATATTTCAAAATGTATGGCCATGCACTTTGGCCAGAATAACAAATACTCACCCCTTTATATCAATGAAAAAAAGTCACCCTTTTATATCAATGAAAACATAACAGAATCTGAAAGTGATCTTGGAGTCAAGCAATCTGAAATGGAAAAATCATGTAATAAAATGCGTAGGCAAAGCCAACCAAATATTGGGTCGAATTAGAAAATGCTTCATTTGTTTAGATATTAGACTGCTGAGAATACTTTATCCTTCTTTTGTGCAACCACTGTTAGAGCTTACAGTACAAGTTTGGTCACCTATTCAAAAATGAGAAATTGAGTTATTAGAAAGAGTCCAACATCGTGCAACTTGATTCCATCACTTAAAAAAATCAACTATGAGATTCGTCTAAAAGCTCTTGACTTGACTACCTTGACAAAAAAATAATTTTATATATATATATATATATATATATATATAAATATATATACATATACATGCAGGGTAAGGGGCCTGAGTTGTAGGGCCTAACTTTTTTCAAAAGTTGTGCAACAGTTTTTTAATAACTATATTTAGTTTAAAATTATTTTTCTTTCCTGGTGGAGCATGCCTAAATAATATTTTGTGGGGAAGGGGGCAAAATTTGAAGTTCCGCCATTGAAAGTTATATTATGGAAAGCAAAAGATTAAAAATTGCAAAAAAAGGTCTTCTTGACTGTAGAGTGATTAAAATAAAACAAATTTAAACCAATAAAATAGAACTTGAACAACACTTATTTGTGTATCTTATTTTAATTGTTTTATTAACTTTAGATTGTAATGAACAAACATTAGGTATTCTTCGTTATCTGCTTTTAGTCTGCTCCTTGTTGCTTCGTATATGTTCCCACCAGCACTATATAACCTTTCACTTTCTATTGATGACGGAGGTGCTGTAAGATATTTTAATGCCATCTTTTTTAGTTTTTCAAATTGCATTCCACATTTTCTCCACCACAAAAACGGTCAACCTTTATTTTCTAAAAGAGGCAGAAATAAATAGTTGTCTATTTCTTGAGTAATTGCAGACCTTAATATTGTTTGCTTCTTAATTATGTCAGTGGTAACAACTTCAATAAGTACTAGTTCTCTTTCTGCCTCGGAATGTCTTTCACTCTGCTTTCTTCCGGTTCTCATAGAAGCTACATCTTTAAAACAATCATCAATGCTAATGAATCCATTAGATGCTGGAGCTTTTACTATTGGAGCATCGTCGGAGTCAGAGTCAACAACATCTTGCGCTCCTTGCATTTCTTTCCATGCTTCTTCAACCCACTCCTTAATAACATTTTCATCTGCATGTTGATAAAGTAATTTATATCGTGGATCCAAAATTGTTGATGCACATAACATTTTATTAAGCAAAAATTTATCAAGTCTTTTAGTAACAGATTTTATTAGTTCATCAATCATCGTCATAATCCCAGCGTATATATCACTTGATGAAGCTTTTTGCAACAAAACTTTTAATGCTAGAACAGATGGTATAATTTGTGCGCAAGTTTCGTCCCTCCTACCACATTTTTTTGTCAAGTTTTCAAATGGAGCAAGAATGTGAACAAGTTTTTCGACTATTCCCCATTGATAATTAGTAGGAAGTTTAATTTGTAGAATTTCAAATGAACTGTTCCAGCGAGTTGGAACATTTTGTTTCATTTTGTGAGGTACTTAACTGCTGCTGAATTGATTTTAATTTTACACATGCTATTGGCGAATGATTAAAATGTGTTGTTATTCCTCTGCATAAAGTTAAAATTTCCTTGATGGTTTCTTGGCTAAATATAGAGTCATGAATACATAGCTGCAAAGTATGGATAAAGCATGGAATTGATGACATTCCACTATTTTTTACTGCAGCCTTCATATTGCTTGCATTATCGGTAACAATAAGATGAATTTTGCTTAACGGGATAAACAAAAAGTTTCTAAACCTTTTTGTAAATAATCTTTTTAGAATAGATCTGTGGTCATCAATATTCCACTGTTTTTTTTGTGTAAAGCCTGAATAATGTTACTTTGTACTGTTTTGGTGGTAGAAGCAACTGAGGCTTCAGAAATAGACGACAATGATTGAACCTTTTTGTTTTTCTTCCGCAAGTTCAAACTCTTTGGAATGCTTTAAACACAAATGTTTTACCATTGCTGTAGTTCCATAAGACTTGAAAGATTTTCCTACTCTCGTAACTAAACTATCACATAGTTTGCACTTACTCATATGAGGAGTCGTGCTTATATCAAAGAACTTCCACGCTATATTTTTTTTTGTCATAATTTTTCTTTCAAATAAAATTTCTATAAAGATAATGAAACTAGTTTTGATATCAAAGTTTTCGTTTATTTTATATAAAACGATAATTTTTTAATAATGGCCGATACCAGGTACCCGGCACATACATATATATATATATATATATATATATATATATATATATATATATATATATATATATATATATATATATATACATACACATATATACATACATATACATACACATATATACATACATATACATATATACATTCACATATATACATACACACACACACACACACACACACACACACATATATATATATATATATATATATATATATATATATATATATATATATATATATATATATATATATATACACATATGTATATATATATATATATATATATATATATATATATAATATATATATATATATATATATATATATATATATTAGTGATGTAAAGATTAATCGGTATCGGCTTAATCGGCCATTTTTTGCACAATCGGAATCGGTATCGGCCTTTTTTACCGATTTTCCAACCGATGGCATTTTAATATTTTTATCCTGCATTATTATAATAATTAAATAATAAATAAACTAAACTTTGTGCATTACTAGGATAAATTTTTATTTAGACTTTGTTTGCAAGCAAAAGCTTTAAAAGTAACCTGTTTAAGCATTGTTATCTATATATTTTTAATTATTTTTTACTCCTAATAAGGCTTCAAGCAACCACTATCAAAATGGGAGTTGCTAGAAAAAAAGTGTAGAGTTATAGAGCAATGAAGTGGTTGACAGAAGACTTAAAAAGTTGAAGGTTGTATGAGTCAGGAAAACAAGTAGATGGGACAATAAAAGAAAAAAAAAAGTTTTTGGAGCATGAAGAGACAGATACAGTCAAAGAATGAGACTTTGATGAATGACAAGTCAAGTGAGAATGAGTTTTGATGGAACTAAAGATGAAAGCTCCCTTGAGCAGCAACCATGATAGTATTTGCAGAAAAGAAAAAGACTTGCAACTTTACGATAATGGGAAAGAGGCTCAAGCTTTGCAGATAGACCAGGTCCAACTCTGTTTACAATGCGTTTTTAAACCTTATCTTGAAGAAAAAGAGCATCATTAGATAGCTCAAATATGATAACAGTATTCCATACAGGGACAAATAAGAGATTTGTAGAGGTAGGGAATGGAATCACCTGATGCATGATAAAATACCTGCTTTATAAAAAGGATAAAAAAATAAATGTTACATTTTATTTTACAATTTAATTTAGTCTTTGAAAGCAATCTTGATATAGGTTGGTAAAGATAAAAGATCCATATAAAAGTTTCTGCTTTATCAAAAATTATGATCTAAGAAAACATTTCAATCTATAATATGTTAAGATAAACATATAGAAATACCAAAAACCAGCAACAACAATTTAGCGTAGTAAACTTGATAGTAAAGTTTTTCAGACTTTTTGAGAATTAGTTGTAACTTTTTTGGTATATAGTATTTTAATAAAAGAAAATTCTTATAAAAGCAAAATAATTTAAATATACTTTATAAACAAATAATTAACAATAAAATAAAAAAAGTCAACTGAAAGTTTTTTTTAAAAGAAATTAGCAACAAAGAATATTATAAAACGCTTATATATGACGATTCAGCAAAATATTCTTTCAGTGTTTTTTTATAATTCTTCAGACAATTCAATATTTTAGTTTAACTATATCGTGTCATTATAAGAATGTAACTAATACATAAAATTAATATAAAAATTACTAACATGTAAATGTACTTAAATAAACATTGTTTAAAAATATGTAATTACTTAGAAACCATGGTGTAATTCTTGCAAGCCTCCACATAGCATCAGCAGCAGCCTGATAAAATTAAAAAATTCCTTTATTAAAAAAAAAAGCATAACATTTAAAGTTAAAAAATATTTCAAGTTTTAACTTCAAAATATGCAAGTTAAAAATTATTAAAATTAAAAAATATATTCAAAATACTTTCTATTTTTATTTTAGTATTGTTAAAAATTATTAACTTTTGTGTTTTTGACTTTTACCTGTTCACCAAAATCTCGTAATAAAACATAAAAAATTGTATCTTTTGAGCCTGATCCAATAATATTTTTATCTAATGTACCAGCTAACAAATCACTATTGTGTAAAACAACATCTAAAAGGCACAATGCAAACATATTAGTAATATTTAAAAATATTAAAATAATGCAATAATGCATATTGCAACAAGCATGTAATTAATAATTCATAATGCAAAAATAAGCACTGTAGATGATGTCAGAAATAAATTTAGAAAGGTAGAGAAAATATTTAATGAAAAATATATATATATTTATTAAAAAAAAAAAGACATAATACAGTAAAAGTTTACATAGGAGTTTATTTACTTTATCAAAATAATTATTTAAAAAATAATGGTAATAATAAATTTTTAAATAGGTTTTACCCAAAATCCATATACTAACTAAAACCTATCAGTTACAGTACCAGCTACCAGTTCATAAAATATTCATAAAAAATCTTTTCAAGGAAACTTAACTTAAAAAGAAACAATTTAATTAGAAATTGCAAAAAAAAATTTAATTAGAAATTAGTAATGTCAACAGCAAATAATTTACTTACAAGAATCATTAACACATAATTCTTCATCTTTTGAATAATTCTTCCCTTTAGTTCTTAAATTAACAAGAGTAGAAGACAAATTGTTTGGCCGAAGCATGACACTTATAACTTGTTTTCCAGTCCATAATTCTACAGGCTTAATGAAAAATTAATTCATATAAGAAAAAATATTAGGGAAAAAAAGAATAAAAAAAATATATATGAAAATATATAAAAGTATAAAAAAGTATCAAGGTCAAATCACAGTACATCCAAGGTAGTACTAGATTAAACTTGTTTATTGGTAAAGAAGGATTGTTGAAATTGTTGTTGTGAAGTTATAAAATTAAGAGGAATATATTATTTTTAAAATTAAAAAAAAAAAATTAAAAAAGATAAAATTTTGAATCGGAGTATACAATATAATTAAAAAATACAACTAAAAAATCAAATTAATGTAATTAAAAGTTGTTAATATTTACAACAAAAAATAAATATAATCAAAAGATACAACAATTGAAATAAAAAACAACTTAGAATTCAACTGGGTAAAGTCAAAAGTGTCATAACAAATTTAATAAACTCTTTGATATACTTAAGATATACAGGTGAAAGTTTATCACATATGTTAACACTGAATGACAGATTATACCTGAGTTTACTTAAATGGTTTCTTAAAAAACTTTTGTTTTTAAACTTAATCACTAAACTTATATTGATATTTTGTAATAATAAGAAAGTTATCTTTACACTAAAAATAGTTGAAAAAAGTTTTTATTGATAGGGTATGAAGAAATCCAGATAAATGGTTTGAATAAAACTGTAACCCAACAAATGTTATGGTAATGTTGAAAATAAATTCAAAAAGTGTAAAAAACACAACAAAAAAAAGCATCTAAGAAATTTTTTCACGCTTTACAAAAAGACAGGTTAAATAAACTTTAAGGAATCTTTTATCTTCCTTGATTTTCCATTTTAAATTCAAAATCAAGCAAGATAAGGCAGAAAGGAAGGCTATTAAGCCAGAAGAAGACTTAAAATAAATAAGTCACAGTTTTGTTTTTACCCAATTTTAAAATTTTTTGTTGAGCTGTTATATGAAAACCCATCTTGCCCCATTCGCCATGTTGCCGCGCTATCACATAATAATATAATAGTTAATATTCTTAAGACTACTTGTAAATTCAGGGGCGTCCATTTTTAACAAGCATTCAAATATATAAATTTTGTTTATTTTGTTTACTTTTAATTGCACAAATATTAAAATAGATGATAATTTTCAGTATATAGAATGTCAATTTGTCAGAACAATGTTGCTAACAGCCACTATTAAGCCAGAAATCATGAAGAAAGTAAAAAACCCATAGAAAAAGCAATAAAAAAGAGAAAGAGACACAACACAGGAACACAAGCCAGAAGTTCTAAGTTAGCTGCAGGTCCAAAATTTTTATAATAAATTATTGCAAATTTTTATTTAAGGTCAACATATAACCGATCTTTTTTTGTCTTTCACAGATTTATATTTAACAGATACATTTTTTTTATGTTTTAATAATATTAAAAACCTTAAAAAAAATATATTTAAAAACCTTAAAAAAATTTGTATATCAGAAATGTTAAAAATTATTACTCATTATGATAAAAATATTAGAAAATATTTAAATATTTTTAAAGATTTATGTATTTGTTACATTTCAACATTTATATATTTTGGTTAAGATTTAAAATGTAAAACAAGTTACTTTTAAAATAACAGGAGGTGGAATATCAATTTTTATGTTGACATCTTTCCCAGCAAGTATCATGGAAGTTAGCTGACAAAACTGAAATCTGTTTAAAAAAATGTCTTTTTGAGTTATAAGGTAACCGCCAGTTATAAAATCTTGAGTTGCAGCTATAAGTGGTTCACCTAAAAAAACAAACAAATACACACACACATATATATATATATATATATACATACATACATACATACATACATACATACATACATACATACATACATACATACATACATACATACATACATATATATATATATATATATATATATATATATACATATATATATATATATATATATATATATATATATATATATATATATATAATATAATATATATATATATATATGTATATATATATATATATATATATATATATATATATATATATACATATATATATATATATACATATATATATATATATACATATATATATATATATATATATATATATATATATATATATATATATATATATATATATATATATATATATATATATGTATAGATATATATATATATACATATATATATATATATATATATATATATATATATATATATATAAATATATATATATATATATATATATACATATATATATATATATATATATATACATTATATATATATATACATATATATATATATACATATATATATATATATATAAATATATATATATATATAATATAATATATATATATATATATATATATATATATATATATATATATATATATATATATATATATATATATATATATATATATATATATATATATATATATATATGTATATATATATATGTATATATATATATATGTATATATATATATATATATATATATATATATATATATATATATATATATATATATATATATGTATATATATATATATATATATATATATATATATATATATATATATATATATATAAGAATAAATAAAACAATAACTACAAAGCCTGTAAATCCTGAATTCTGTGTAACATTTTTCATATTTATAGTCTAAAAATTAAAAATTATTGATATAGTAGATTTCCTACTTATGTTAGTTTTGCTATATTTTTGAAACTTGAATTTTTCTGCATTTGTAATATATATATATATATATATATATATATATATATATATATATATATATATATATATATATATATATATATATATATATATTATATATATATAAATATATATATATATATATATATATATATATATATCAGGCCTTGTTTTAAAGCGTTACGCCTAGAGCGATTTACGTACGGCTTAAGCGATTTTTATGTACGCGTAGAGCTGTTTTGGTTAAGCTACTTTTAATCATATTTTAACTTTCAAATTAGCGGTAACATAAAAGAAGTATTTAATTTTTAAAAAAACCACATTAACTTTTGAATAACAATATGAAAAAATATTTATTACAAAAAAGAAGTTACGTTAAAAATAATTGTAGTAACTTTTCATTGCGATATATCATACCTTTTTATAACATTTAATTTTTTGCTAAACTTTTTATTCAAATATTTAGTAACATGAAAAATTGTTTGTCAATCCTTAACTACAAATTTTTTGCAAATGTTTTTAATAAAAAGTAGTAACTTTTTAAAGTTTTCAATAAAAAACTTTTAAAAAATCTATATTCCAAACTTATTAATACAGAATATAAATGTTTTTTGTAATATAGATTTTTCAAGAGTTTTTTACTAAATTCATATTAAAAAACATTTGCAAAAAATATGTAATTAATGGTTGACATTTTTTTTAATATCTCAAAAAATGTCTTAATATTTTTGTTATCATGATAACAAAAATATCAAGACATATTTTTGGGATATTTAAAAAAATGTGCCAATGATTAAACAATCAATATGTATTTTTCTAAAAATTACTTCATTAATTATTACTCTTTGCTTTTCTTATTAGTTGAAGGTATATAAATACCTTTGCTTACATTATATATACCTTTGCTTTTAAGTTATGCGGGGGGATGGGGCCAGCACAGAAAAAAAAAAATTAACTGTTACTCGCAATTTTTAAATGAAGACAATTTGTTAAATTTCTTCTGCGTGCGATTCAATAAATTTTTTTCATAAATCAAGTTATATTATAAGGTAAAGAAATCACGAGTAGACTATAACATCCGCTGATGACACTAATATTACGTTGAATATATTTATAATGGAGGTTTCATTATGCACCCGCACATTACAGATTCCGTTAAGTAAATACTAAGGCACGTTTTAGTTTAATGACAGTCTCTACTTTTTACTAATGAATATGTATTTTTCTTTATAAAACAAGAAAAACTAGTATATAAAAACCTTTTATATTTCTATTCTCTCTAAATTGTTTAAAGTTCGAATATGGATTGTATTTTGAAGGACAATAGATTTAGTTTAAAAACTTTTAAATCTTGGGACTTTCCCGATACTTTGACGATGCGATGATCACAAAAAAAAGAAAGACTTATTAAAATCAAATGTAATTTATGTGATCTTCATCAAAATAAAATATTACCCTAAAACAATTGTGCCGTGAGGGCAGCTGCCCTACGGTTTATAAATAACACAGTTATGTTAAAATATTTTAACGTTACTATATTTAATTTAAGTTGATATATAAATAAAAATAAAAATATAGTTTAATAAATAAATTAAATTTGTTCTTAACAAAGATTACCTCATATATATTCTTTTTTTATTTTATTAAGTTAAATTGCTTACAAACGAAAAAAAAAAAGAGTTTTTTTAATTATACGTAGAATGAAAATACTTTTGAGTTTGTTTATAAGTTAAGGAACTTAATTTTTAATAAACAAGTTTTTAGGAACGTTTATTATAAACAGATACAATTCAAATTATTAAATATATTATTTTAGTTGAGTATATTTTCAAGTTTGCACGATAAAAGTTTTGCGTAAAAGTATTTGTTTTTTGTTTGAAGAATAACTAACAAAAGAGTTTGCATAATTAAGACTTTTATATTTACTTTAATTTTTTTTTTAATTTCCTAAAATTTAAAAAAAATAAAGATTTAATCGTTAAAAACGATTTTTCTCTATAGCTCTGTTTCTTTGTGATTTGTTTAAAATGTAAAACATTTTTACAATAACATAAAAAATTTATGACTTAAATTCCTGGCAAACGCGTTTTAAACTATGTATCAAAAATATGCTCAAAGCAGACAAAACTTTTTTACATTTTTATATAACGCAAGTTTTTTTTTTTTTTTATTTCAATTCACCTCCTCAAGGCCGAGAAGGCCACTACAGACGAGGAGGCTACTTATTTGTGGTTATAACCCTCTCTCAACTCTATAACTCCGAAACACGAACCTTGACGAGCGCGGAGAAACGAGTTGAGCGCGATACTACCAGGGACGTGGTGGGGATCGAACTCGGAACCACTCGTTTATGAAGCGAGCGCTCTACCACTACACCACTACCGCTTAAGTTGAAACGCTAAGCAAGATAAATTAAAAAAATATTTAAAAACCTAAATTATTCTTTGCTAGTCAAAACAAAATCGTTGTTTAAATAATATTTTTTGTTTATTAATGTTAATATTTTTTGTTTACTCCAGAAATTTTTAAAAATAAAAAAAAAATCATTTTTTATTTAATAACGATTTATAAACAATAATTATTCAAAAACAAATTTCAGAATTAATATATATATATATATATATATATATATATATATATATATATATATATATATATATATATATATATATATATATATATATATATATATATATATATATATATATATATATATATATATATATATATATATATATATATATATATATATATATATATATATAATATATATATATTGTTGTTTATTATTGAATCTGGTTGAGATACAAATCCTCTTGTTTACTTGAGAGTGATCAATATAATGTAAAAATAATTTTTACAAAATAAATCAATATATATATATATATATATATATATAAAGTGTAATTAAATAGAAAAATACAACTTTATAATGGAACTAAAAGTTTCATGCCTATCAGCAATCTTCAGCCATATATATTATACAAATCAAGAAAAAACCGTTAAAAAAATACAAAATACAAAAACAGCAGTAGAATGAGTTTCTTCTTGCCCAATTTGACATTGGCGATTAGCAGTTTTACAACTATGCTTCTTTTTTATTCGTTTTCTTTTGACGTCGGAACTCATTCTACTGCTGTTTTTGTATTTTGTATTTTTTTAACGGTTTTTTCTTGATTTGTATAATATATATGGCTGAAGATTGCCGATAGGCATGAAACTTTTAGTTCCATTATAAAGTTGTATTTTTCTATTTAATTACACTTTTTATATATATATATATATATATATATATATATATATATATATATATATATATATATATATATATATATATATATATTACTAAATAATATTGAACTAAAATTAATAATAAAATAACAATTGAAAACATTACAAACTTTTCATTATAAATTTATATTTAAAACGTTTATAGTTATTTGAGTTAATTGTTAAATTGAACTAGTTAGCGGTTATTTATTTATTGCTGTAGTTAAAACACTTAATGCCTATAAAAAAAAATAAAGATAATTTTATGACGTCAAATATCGCGTTAAGCTAATGCGTTAAGCACTTTTTTATTTAAAACAAGATCAACAGTCCTTATTGATACAGACTATCATTTTCTATATTTTTTAATTGTAATTTTGGAAACTGCACATATCCGCACCTGATTTTCAATTAATTAATTTTATAGACATCTAAGCTACAAATCAATTATAAAAATGAAGCATGGGTGACTGCTAAAAATGCCTGTGAACTTTAAGAACTTTTATTTTCTACCTCATTTTATAGTTTAATTAATTATTAGTAAACCATATAATTAAAAATATGAATTTGTTCTAAAATCTCCATTACATGATGCTTTCAAAAATTTATAACACTTTATACTTATTCATAAAATGTTTTATAGAAAAAAAAATTTAAACAGATGAAGCAAATAAGTTTCAATTCAAAATTTACAAAAATATAAAACAGGGCTTCAAAAATTATATTTTTACATAAAAATAGCTGAAATCTCTATGTTATAGCAAAAATTAACTATTAAAACTATTAAAAAAATTACAGTACAATTTTTGGAGTGAAATTGAAATTTAAGCTCGTACTATTTTCCACAGTGCAGCGCTTCTTTTTGTGACAAACCAAGATTTATATTTCCGAGTATCATTTATTAAAAAATACCACTGCACTTTCACTTGCCTTAACACTAAATAGTTAAATGCATGCTTTATAAACATTTTTTGATACAGTGTTATAACATATTTACAACGAATTTAAATAATTTTTTTAATCAATATTTTTCTAAATTGTAAGGAAATTTCTGTTTTCACTTTTTTGATATTGCACAATCTGTTAATTATATAAAGCTGATGTAACTATTATAATACTATTTTTCTAAACTAATATTTTTCTTATAAATATAAAAGAAGATATTGCAAGAGTTTTATTGTAAAGTTTTGTCATAAGTCATGTACTGTACACAAATATGTATTATCATGAGCTATGTTACAGGTTGGTACAGAGGAGAGAAGCGAGCCATGAAGTTTGCTATCCTGCAAATTTGGCAAGAACTGACAGACCACTCAAGCAACTGCTACTTCTACATGGTAAACCCAAAAGTCGTTACGCACACAAAAATGCCTCTTGGATCGTTTATTAGGACATATCTTGCTCCATCACCTTAGTACCATAAAACCCTGATCTTCCTGTGCCAACTCCTCCTAGGCGACATTGGCCATTTTCAGGAACAACAGCAAGTCAGATAGCAAGGCAGACACTGGAGATATGGACTACGATTCTGCACATTAAATTAGGGATAGAAAGCATTATTTCCCTAACCAGAAAGGGGTGAACAATTTAATTAGGGACCTCGCGCCTGCAAATTTGAATACTGTGCTGCTGATATCCAAGCTACAACAGTGGAACTTGGTTGATAATAGTGTAAAAGTCATAGATCAGAGGTTGCTGCATCATTGATTCTTCAACTTCTTCAGTCAGTGTGATGGGTTGTACTTCTGCAATCATGTTGCCAGTCTATTTCAGACTATAGGCATCGCATGTAATCTAATTGAATGGCGCCAATTCATAGACAGTTCCCAAAGCGTCAAAGCCTAGTTGCTTCACAATGGAAACAACTACCCTCTCCTGATGGCTTATTCTGTGTGTCTCAAAAAGAAATAGAACAGTGTCAAAATGTTGCTGAGTGCATCAAAGTACCAAGTTAGGCCTCATTAAGCAATTTGTCACTGCACTAAACAAAGAGTTAGCAGTATTTCAATACCTCCAAGATCTTTTTCCAAAGCTGTCCAAGGCTAAGGTTAGGGTTGGTATATATATCAGGCCACAGATCAAGAAGATCATAGAACGCGAAGATTTTGCAAAGCTGTTGAACAGGATGGAGGGAGAAATTTGAAGCAGTTTTGTTGCAGTTGTTTGGGGCTTCCTAGGTTATCACAAAGCTGAAAACTATGTGGAGCTGGTGCAGCCACTCATAAAGAAGTATGCCAAAATGGGATGTAGAATGTCTCTGAAAGTCCATATCCTTGATTCGGATTTCGACAAATCTAAGGAGAACATGGGCACCTACTCCGAGGAGCAAGGCAAGCACTTTAATCAAGAAATATTTGACTTTGAACGCCATTACCAAGCACAGTATAACAAAAAACTAATGGGAGACTACATTTAAGGGCTACTTCAAGAGAATGACTCACAGTACAATCATAAATCTAGAAAATCTAAACATTTCTGAATCTTGTTGAGTGGTTTCTTATTGTGTTTGTCAATTCCTTGTACAAGTTTTGTTTTTACCTGATCATAATGACGAAAATGAAAAAAATTGTTCTATCTTCGCAAAAAAACAAGTTTTTTTTGTGCTGCTGTCGTGCAAGCAATGTTTGTGCTTGATGAAGTCATTTTTTTACATACTTTATACATAAGTAATTGAAATATAAGACATAAAAGCCAGGAACAAAAATTGTGTTACATAGTGTTACTAAATTTAGTATTTTATTTCAGTTAGAGATAAGTATTTTATCTCAGTTAGATAAGAGATTTTTAAAAAATCTTTAATGATGTCATTAACAAAAGATGTCATTGCAAAAAATTGCCAACCTCAAACACTTTAAGTTTGGTAATGTCGAATGCTGGCCCTCATTCCAAGGGCTGAATTTATATATGTTACTGTTGATTACTTTTTTTAGAAAATAATTTAATGTGTCACTGTTTTCATATGGAGTTTGCGAAGTTCCTTTATCTTCTCCTATTAAAGATTTCTTTGTATCAAAAAGTTAATTGAGCTATGAAAACTTTTAATAACCATTAATAAAATAGAAATAATCACGAACATGTGTAAATATATGTTCATGTTTGTTTATATTTTTATCATACAGAATAATAAAAACAAATACAAGTATAAATGTAGATGACATGGTTACTAACAGATTAGAAAGGTTATATCATTCAAGGCAATATTATATAATATAAGGTAATACAAGGTAATATATATCAAGGTGATCTATAGCGATATAAAAATATTTTTAATTATTTTATCTTTTTCATCTTTTTTTTTTGAAGATCATTGAATTTTAGTTTTTAAAAAATTATAAATTTTGAATATATTTTTCAACAACCAACCATTTCTTGGAGTTATTAAATTAGACTTTGTCCCCATTAGCGTAAGAGCCTCTGCTTTAGCCTCCTCTGTTTGTGGAAGATGCAGATTCATTTCATCTCCATCAAAATCAGCATTGTACGGTGTGCATACACATTCATTGAATCTAAATGTACGATGAGGACGGACAGTTGCCTAAAGTTAAGTATAGAAATTTGGTTATAACAAGTAAAGTAAATCAATTGGTTACAATTTTTTTTTTTTTTTTTTTGGTAAAATTAAAAAAAAAAAAAAACTATAAAAACTAAACATTATTTTTAATGATAAAATAGCATTCAAAAACATAAAAAAAATGTTTTAAAGCATGGCTTGTTTTTTAAACAACTTTATCATGATACTAAAAAAGCAATGATAATAAAAAATGATAAAAAAAAAGTTGCTATGTAGCTGTATAAGTTACTTCATAATAAAGAAATTTAACTCCACTTTATTCCTGGTAGCCATTATTCAACTTGTTTTTTGTACAGCAACCCTATTTTCAATGTTTATGGTTTCCAAGTAAAAATGCCCAAGCAAAACTCTACCATTACGTCACTACTACATGTAGGTCATAATAATGAAAAACAAATGCCTGTCTTTTTTTAGTAGTTTATAGTTATTAGTAGTATATATATATATATATATATATATATATATATATATATATATATATATATATATATATATATATATATATATATATATATATATATATATATATATATATATATATATATTATATATATTCCATAGTTCAGTGACGCATCATGTGGAGAGATTTTTTTTAATTAAAATTTTTCTGTAACTCAAAAATAACTTTTTATTACTCTAAATCAATTTTGAATTAAAATTTTAAAATATAAATTAAACACATTTGTATAAACATAACACTGACACATAGCAAAAATTAAAACATGAATTCAGTGACGCTATGCGGAAAAAAGTATTTTTTTATCAGCAAATGGAGTTTTCGCTGAAATTTTAATTCTTGCTCGACTAATTAGATTTTTGTATAATAATTTTTCATTTAGCAATAAGGCTGTCATGAAAAAAGCTACAAACAACGAAGCTTTCAAATCGTTTTATTTTACAGAAAAAAACTATTAGTTCAGTGACGCAACATTGTGACAAAAAAAAAAAGATGGAATTAAAATCATTTTTAAAAGTTTTGTTATTTTGTAATAAATCTTAATTATACTCAGGTGAAAATAGCATCGGAACAATGTTATTATTCTGAACATAAAAATAATGTGATTTTGATATATCTTTGATTTTTCTTGAATAACTTAAAATTGAACTGAATCCAAGTTCATTTTTTTTTGTTATCTTGTGTTGTTCTCTGATATTTGCAAATCTTGTAATGCTGACGCAAAATCTGCTGCTGACCTGATCTCTAACTGACTAAATTTAACTTTCAGGGCTGCTATTTACTTAACAGTAGCTCCTATTCTGTCAACCACTCCTTTCCAGTGCATTGCTGCAAAGAAATGCCAGTAGAATTTTTTATGAAAATGGTTTTCGAATACAACCATTGCAGCCATAATGCTTTTGGTTTTGAACTGAGAAGTGGCATTATCGCTGAACATAGGAACTTCTTTGACTTGATCAGGAATAAAGTGAAGAATTTTGTCAATGTATGAGATTATAAACTTTCTTGAATATTAAAGGCAAAGGTTTGGATAATCCTTCTGCACAATGCTTCAGCTCATAGGTACTGATGTTATTGCAACCAAGTGACTTGTTTTCATTAAGTTCTAATAAATAATTAAGTATAAAATCTTCTTTTAGTTCTTGAGTCACATTCAAATAATTGACTTGTTTTATTGCTGAAATATGGTAGATCCTGATTTTCTTTGACAAATACTGATTGGAAACTACAATTTAGTAGATTAGCAATGACTTTTTTATCGGTTATTATTTTAATTGCTAAGCGCTAATTTTAAGTGCTAGTAATTTTGTATGTGTTTGATTTCTCTTTTTGCATATGCATAGAAACATTTTGGGTTTTACATCTTTTGCTAAGTTTATTTCATAATCAAGAGTAGATTTCTTAATTTGTTATTAAATTGTTTTATTGATTAGTTTGTATTCATTATTTAAGTTTGTATTCTTGAAGTTTGTAGCACGCACTATCTATATTATTTTCTATTATCCTTTACTTTTGGCGCCCAAGAACATCGACTTATCTATATTCAACACATCCAATAAACAAAGAATTTGTCCACTAATTTTGATAAAAAATTTATTTTTACCATCAAGTCATGTAAAAAGGCTATAAAGAATAAATTTGATCAAAGTAGAAAAAGAAAAACTTACAAAACTATTTTATGAGAAACTAATAACTAATTTTTCACAATATATTTTGTCTAATGTGAAACAACAAATCCAAAACAAAGGTATTTTATTTATACCTTACTCGAACTATATTCATGGTAATTTATTTAGTAAAGCAATGGAGAGATTTAAACGATCCATTAATCTAAGAATTTTTTTTAGAAAAGATGACAAAGATCAATTAACTCACCCATTCCACAAAATATCGCAATGGACACCTCCAAATACAAATAACCAAAGCATAAATAAATTTTTTTTACAGATTGATCGAGACATTGGACAATTATAAAAAAACCCAAACCCAAAATTACAAACAATCTTTCATCAGTAGAGTCTATAGCATTGGAGACACTACATAGTAATAAGGATATCATATTCAAGAGCAGATAAAGGTGGTGGGGTTTGTATTTTAGATAAGGTACAGAATGAGAACAAAAATAAACCAACTATTAAATGATACTAATACTTATAAACTCCTGCCCCATAATCCAATGGCAAAAATAATAAATAATATTAATACTCCAATAGACTACATGGTTGTCCACTACATAATTGACGAAACAACAGCAAACTTTTTATGACCTGATACACCCTGTGGCTGCCCTATTTTTTACAGATTACCGAAAACTCACAAAGAGAGTATATAGCCCAATAGACCATTTATCTAAATTCATTACACACTTTATACAACCAATAGCAGAATCTCTCCCCTCATATATCAAAGATAATGCTCATTTTCTTCATATGCTTCAATCCCACCAATTCACCTTTTCTAACTATTTTTTTGTAACAGCAGATGTCACATCACTCTATACAAATATACCACATCAAGAAGGATTTAAAGCTACCATCTTTTATATGAAACAAATTCCAATTCATCAGATATCACCATTATGCCCACCTTTTTTATATAATTTTAGAAAAAATTCTTACATCTAATCAACTCTATTTATCAACTCTATTTCTCCGGCGGTCTATAGTGCTCTATGATGAGACCATAAATTCTTTTTGGAACACCTTAATAACAACACAAAAGATGTGTATATATTTTTAAAATACATTGATTCATTATGATCTAGCTTAATCTACAACAAAAGATTGAAAGTTCTATACACAATCTTTTAAGGTAACTAATTTATGAGTTGAATTTGTTAGGATCCAAGACTCAAATAACAGTAGCTTTTTTTAATGAATTTCATTTGATACAAAATCCAAGTAAAAACAATCAAGTTTGCAGAAAGACCTAAAATGACCTCATAGATCAACAAAAAATCAATTTACAATTACTTTAATGTTAGCTTATCTATCATAAAAAGTGAAAAATAGGTACTATATATTTCTTAAATTAAAAAGCAGTATTTTTTTTTTTTTTTTTTTGGTGCAGAAACACGTAAAGAAAATATAGTTGTGCAGAAACACGTAAAGTTAATATAGTAAAAAATTAACAAAACTCAACAGCAGAATCTAATTGAACCAATGCTTGGAAATCCAAATTTGATCAAAAATGCTTGGATCAAAAAAAGTTTGAATCCAAAAAAATGTCAAAAATTGCAAAAGCATAACTTCAAACAATCAGTACAAATACTTTTAACAAGATTTAAAAGAAAAAAAATTTTTAATACAAACATGACCTATACACCACTCATTAGCTCCTTTGTATAAAAATCAGTTGTCAAAAAAAAATTTGGGGCTTAGTTATTATATATACAGGCTTTTGCTGTAATATATATGAGTAAATGACTGCACAAGCTATGATTGGCTTATCTAAAATGGACTTAGCAAGCTACCCAGGCTGCTTGCTGAGATTGCAGAGCCTTGCGCGAGCTTTTTCGTAAATTTAAAAATATGTTATGATGATAATTTTTGATATAATGAACTTTTATTTTTATATTATTTTATTCCAGAGAGTAAAAATACTTATTTTTTTAATGATAAAAAAAACAAACAGACATTTCAGAAAAATTTCTTTGCTTCATCCTATTATTTTTTTTTTAACTAATTTTTGTATTATTTTTATATTTGTTTAATAATTTAGTTATTAATCAAATAAATATATAATATAAAAATGATAAAATATTGTCAATTGTTTAATAACAACAACAATATGAAAATAAAACATTTCATTGTTTTACAAAAACAAATGTTCAATTCATAATAACATGTTAAATTCTTTTGCAATGCATGCATATATTTTGCATGCTTTTTAATATAATAATTTAACTTATAACATAATATACAACAATAAAAAGAAATATCTTTGTTTAAAAAAAAGCTGTTTGATTTCTTTTTTTTTTTCTTTCATTTTCATTTATAATATAACATAACAGTCAAGTAAAATTTTTTTACAATTTTCTGACATAACATCATGACAGACCAGTAACCAAATAAAAAACATCAAAATATTCAACTTTTTTTTTACATCAAAATTAAGGAAATCTCACCATTAAACTAAGAATCATTAAATTAAGTTTTACAGCTCTAAAACTTAATTTTTTAAAACATTATGAGATAATAAAACATTATGAGATAACAGAAAGAGTATCACTATCAAAAAGGCATAAGCAGAAACCAAGTGGACCCTCTTGGCAGTAGAGCCAAGAGGGTCCAGGATACATCATTATAAACATAAATCAATATAACACAGAATTATATACATCATATTTAAGAAGTGCAAGACTATTCAAAAGAAATTTTCTGCTATTCCCTAAAGTCCCTGCCATAAAGACCTTTTACAAAACAAAAGCTATTTAAAGTTATTTTTGATAAATCCATCTTAACGAAGATACATTAAAACAATCTGAATCAAGTCTAGCATATAAACAAAGTATAAACCAGCTTGGAAAAATAATCACAAATTAATGATGACAAATTAATATTCACAAATGATGTATTAACTCTTTAACATTTATTCTGTGTATACCCTTTAAACAACATTTGTTTCCTTATTTAATAATCATTAAAAGTAAGTTGTTACTTTATTTTAAAGTGTCACATAATTTTATAAAAACATTAATGATCAAAGTTATTTATTCCAAATGTAATTGTAAACATCATTTATAATTTTCTTGTTGTAATTTATAGTTATAATTTTGTGAGCTTTGTTTTGTTTTAGTTTTATTTTAATTTTTGTTTTGTTTTAGTTTAATTTTTTAAGGATTTTTTTATTTTCATTAAGATTTTTTCCTTTTTTTAGTAAAGTTTTTTATTGTAAATATCTCCATTTTTAAAATATCCAAAAAACTGCATTTAAGTTACCATAACAAAATATTATATGCTTGTGTTTGTGTGTGTATATGCAATGGTAAAAAACAATTTTAAAATAAATAACATTTTTATTTTAGAAAAAAATCAAAATTTATCATACATAATGAGCCATAATGCTTAGTCTGTGTAAAGATGGTTGACGGTTGAAAAGTACAACATCATTATCCATTAAATGGCGTTCCACAATATCCCCGTAGCGTAACTCGTTTGCAACTAATGCACGATTACCATATTTTAAATATCTTTTAATGCCTAAAATTAATTTATAAGTAATTTTTATTAAAATATGTTATTATTTTTGTGTAATTTCATCAAGGGGTTGAATTATGCGATCACGAAATGCAAAATCCTGAAAAATATCCGTTCTTCAAAATTTTTGTTTATGCAATATCATGTTCTTTGTTTTCAAGGGACGAATCAACTTAAATTTGTTAGCGAAAACTATAAAATGTTAATATGTTAATAATATAAAAAATGTTAATAATATAAAAAATGTTATAAGAAATAAAACAATAAACTTACAACTAGAAAAGTAATAACACTCTAGTAACTAATTGCATTATAAAAGTAATAAAATTATAATAGTGTTATTACTTTTATAATGCACTTTTAACTTTTATGATTCATTATTTGTTCAAACGACATTAGTAATCCCAAATTTTAATTGAAGTATAAAAACATACTGTATAACAGGTTTATATAAGTTACATACTGTATAACAGGTTTATAAAGTTGTTTAAGAGTATTTGTAAAAGTTCCTAAAGTTTTTAATAATATTTGAATATTCCCCTTATCTTTTCTAAATGCTTTTTTTACTTTGAATAAAGTTTGGAATTACTTATGTTATTTGAACAAAGAATGAACTTTGAAAGTTATAACTGCTTTATAAAAGTAATAACGCTGTTATAGTTTTATTACTTTTATAATGCAGTGACTAGAGTGTTATTACTTTTGTAGTAGTAGTTTGTAAATTTATTGTTTTGTTTTGTATAAAATTTTTTGCTAACAAACTTATAATATTTTGCTCCTTAGAAACAAAGTACATGGCTTTGCATTAACTAAAATTTTGAAGACCAGACATTTCTTCAGATTTTGCAAATCGCGATCGCTTAATTTAACCCTTGTTCATGATAAAAATTTCTACATTTTTAATTAACTTTTACTTTACCTATATTGTGGAAAACTCAGAAACTCAGAAAACCTAATATACTTATTAAGATATACTAAATAATTATATAATTAAAAACCAGGATTATTGTCATAAACTTCTAATATACTTAATGTAAAACACTATTAATGTCATAAAATAAAGCCAAATATACTGAATTAAGAAATCGGATTAATGTCATAAACTAAATCCCAATATACTTAATAAGGAAACAGGATTAATTTCATAAACAAAAGCCTCATATACTTAATTAAGAAACAGGATTAATGTCATAAAATGGTTTTTAAAAATGTTTGTCTAAGAAGGTGAACTAAATGCGATTTGTAAAACATTTTTTTGACAACACATTTTCTATGTAACATTTTTTACCAAAAATTTTACCCTGTTATGACAACAGTATTTCACACAAATGAGAGATTTACAAAATAAAATAAAAAAAGTAGAAAAATAAAAAATAAGAGAAACAACTTAAGCATTTGCTGATTTTGCAATGGACTCCATATGTTTCCAGGAGAAGTCAGTGGTAAAAAATAAAATTCAGAAATTATAATTCAGAAGACTCAGTCAGTATTTTTCCATTCTATTGTGCCTAGTCATTAATAGCTATGCAACTCTATCTGTTATCTCCTAATAAGGATACAGCTTTAAAATTTAGTTTAAAGTTCAAGCTTGAAATGTCTTGCAAGTTTTGGGGTAGCTCAGAGAGACTGAATCCATCAACAACTGTTAAACATCAGGGTATTACCAGTGCTATGTTGAGCATGAACGGTGTTTCTGTTAGTACTTATGATGTGGATTGTGGAGGTTACATAAGAAGCATATATTGATTAACAGGGATGAGGCAACTGTAGCCATAGCAATAAGCTATGCAGTATGTTTCATTCTTACTAATTAACTTAGGCTTTTTTGTGGCCTTGAAATGCACATAAAAACACTAACAGGGATATCTTCAATGGGCAATATGGTACTGTTAATACTCTGGTATATACATCTGGTGGATAGTCTCCCTAAGAGTCTCCGCATAGTTCAGAAACTGTTGCTTCATCCATCAGTTTAACACTCTGATCTTTGGATCTGAGTGTTAAACTGATGGCTATTTGTGTTATTGATGACTTTAATGCTTATCACAATGAGTGACTTTGCTCTAGTACCTTGCTGGCCCTCAACCTTTAAATTTTTTGTCGTTTTGTCAATCTGTTATCAAAATGGTTAACTTTGTGACTTGTTTTCTTGACAACCTTAATCTCCTTAATTTGAACTAAAATCAAATGAAGCTCGTGATTCATACGATGATTCAATAAAAAATTTGAAAATAATAATATCAATAATAGTAATAATAATATTAATAATAATAATAATAATAATAATAATAATAATAGGCAGAGTTATTTAACGAAACACAATAAGGAATCATAGACTAGTGGAAAATGAACACTAACTCTCTTATTAGGCTGAATGTAACTTTAAATTTTTTTTTAAACTAATTTGCATCTATTAAACATAAAACTTTTTTATGCTAAAAAAATTTTATGGTAATAATAAAAATTTAAAAAATTTACAAAAACTACAAGTGAACTCACTTAGACATCAATAAGCAAAATAAAGAAAAATTTTAAATTCATTGTTGAATGATTTGGTTTCTAAGATTGCTGTCTAACATTGGTGTCTAAGAATGCTTTTATTTTTTTAAAAAACAATTCCTCATGAGATGGTAGGCATCTATTTTTATAAAATAAGATTTAATAAAAATATTAACATAAATATATAATGGTGAATAATAAAAAAAATGTTTGCTATTTATCAAACCACAATCAATTGCTATTTCATATAGTCACTATGTATGTAATCACTAGAAATATCAAACATTAACTAAATAATTTGAATAAGTAATGTTAACCATAAAACTTTAATAAAAATTAAAAATTCTAACAAAAATAAAAAAATCAACGTAAAATACCTGTATTTTTGCTTATAACAAAGTTTGCTCCAGGATGGATATCAGCTCCATTTTTTACAAGTTCTTTCATTAGTTTTATGTTAAATTTATTTACTGGTTCAGGAAAAGTTAAAACTTTTGCCACATGAATAGGCACAGCAACTTGATCAATTCTCAAGTTTGGATCAGGTGATATTACAGTTCTTCCTGAAAAATCAACACGCTTCCCTGACAAGTTTCCACGAAAGCGACCCTGCTTACCGTTTAACCTTTGAACAAAACCCCGAGTAGCTTTTTTTGGTTGCATATTCATTGGGATTCCAGACATTTCCCCATTTATATATAAAGCACATTGCAGTTGCAAGAAGTCCCAGTCTTCCATAATTATTTGCACTTTGGCACCTGTTGATCTGTGCTTACGAATGACATCATTTAAAAAAATCATTTCTGTGAGTTTCATTGTTAAATCATCTTCATTGCTGCCTGCTTGAAGTTCAGAAATAACAGATGGACGTATACATGCAGGAGGCACAGGAACTCTAGTTATAATCAGATCTTCAGGACGACCACTAGCAGGAACCATTCCAAGTAAATAGCAATCCTAAAAAAATATATATATAATAACTCTCAGAGCATCTTGACAAAGTTTTTAACAGTTTTTCTAATTTCAAAAAATTTCAAAAGAAAACTTTAACTTAACTAGTAGCCCATAAAGACAGGGTCAGCTAAGCAAAAAGAAAGATGAACATAAAGACAGGGTCAGCTAAGCAAAAAGAAAGATGAACAAGATCTATACTGCCACAAAAAAAAGCAACTGTTTCAGAAGTTTCTACCGATATAATAAATGCTGAACCAAAAACAAAGGAGCTATGTTGTTACAGTAAACAAGACTTAGACTCACTAATGGAATTAATTAAAACAAAGTTTGATATTTCTTCAAAATCATAAAAACTTAAATTACTAACTTTGGTTCTTGAGAGTTGGAACATTGACTATACACAAAACTATTTTTCTTAAAGAATGATAAAAACTGCAAAACATTTGAAACAAATGCATGGCATAATGGCAGAACCGTCTAAAAAAGAGGGAAGACCTATTAGTGAGAAAGTAAAAAATCAAGTTCTACCAATTTTACCAAATTTTACCAATCAGATGAATACTCTTGAATGTGCCCAGGGAAAAAACAGTATATCCAAGTCAATGGTAAAAGATTTTCAAAAAAGACTACTATTACTTAATATAAAAGTTAATAAATAAATTTAGAGTTTGTTTGACTTCTAAAAATCACATTACCAAGTAATCATATTTTAATATTACTAGACTTTGCCGAAAATTACAGTTTTTTAATTCAAGATGCAGTACATGGTTTCCATTGGAATAACAGCCAAGCAACATTGCATCCTTTTGTTATTTACTTTATGGAAGAAAAAAAGATAAAATGTAAAAGTATTTGTATCATCTCAGATCATTTGCAACACAATACAAACTCAGTTCATTGTTTTATTCATGAAGTACTAAAACATTTAAAAGAGTTGATACCCTACTTTAACCATTGCATTTATTTCAGTGATGGTGCAAGTTCACAATACAAAAATTATAAAAACATATCTAACTTATGTCACCATGAATAAGATCATGAGGAATCAACAGAATGGCATCTTTTTGCTACATCGCATGGAAAGAGTGCTTGTGATGGTTTTGGGGACACTGTCAAAAGACTTGTAGCACGGGCAAGTTTAAAATCACTAACTGATTCTATCAATTTATCTGAGAAAATGTATGATTGGTGTAGACAAAATAATAAAGGAATACATTTTCAATACATTTCAAATTTGCTTTGTATTAATTTTAAACTAGAAGAACCTTATGCTACTTGTTCAATAGTTCCAGGAACAAGAAACCACCATTGTTTTATACTAAAATCATTAACAACTTTACAGATGAGATGGGTGTCGTTCGACAATGTTTACTTATGTAAATATTTCAACAAAGCAGCAGAACTTTAGGATTCCTTTTGCCTCTCTTTCACCAGGAATTTATATAGCATGTGTTTATGATGATAAAATGGTTTTCAGGTAGTATTGTGGAAATATCTGAAGAAAATCAAGATATCCTTTTAAAGTTCGTGTCTATTTCCTCAAACACTTTCTATTTTGTCTATTTCCTCAAACACTTTCGCAAGGGAAGATATTTACTGGGCTCTAATTATCCATGTTCTATGCAAAATTTCATCTTTAAAAGTGCAATCAGCAACTGGTAGATGCTATGAACTTTAGCTCATGAAAAAACTGAAATACTACATTTGTACAGTTGTATATATAATAACAAAATTATATAACAACATAGCAAAATTGTTATAAATTTGATCAATCCAAATTTTTTATTAAAGCAAATTTGAATGATTCAATTTTTATATTGATTTTTTATTAAATAATATTTTTATTACATAATATATATTACATAATAAACTTGTGTATTGTAAATCAAATGACTCTTATCACTTGGTATAATCTGTAACCTAAATTTAAACAGTGATAATCAAATAAATTGAGAAGGGTGAAATAGCGAATGCTTTGGGAAAAATTATACAAAATTAGACAGAATATGAAATAGCAAGAAAATAAGTGATATGAAAACAAATGTGTAGGGCAGATAATAAGAATTAAAAAACAAAGAGCTTTTATTTTCATTATTTACCAAATGTGCTACTTTTATATGTGCACTATTTATTAACTTTACAAACTAAATGTCACAGCTTGTATATGACACACTGCTTAAAGTAAAATATTCAATAACTAATTAAAAAAATTAATCCAGAAAAAAGTTCTTCTTATGATAAGAATGTTCTGTGCAAAAACATGTATGTTAAAAAGTAAATGGAGAGGGGGAGGGGAGGAAACTAAGGCTATTTAAAAACTGAGTTTAATTCAGTCTTAGTTAATAGCTTCTTTCTAGTAATGATTATGATATACTTTTATATAATTTTTTTTTGCATTGTAGTAGATAATAAAAACTGAAGTACAATAATATCTATATTTTTATCATTTTTAATGCATTTTGTGCCAACTTCATTGCTCTGACTTTGTCATTTCCCCATGAGTAACCACTAATTTTTTTTCTGAAATCATTTTAATAATTAAATAATTAAAAGTCTGTTAAATCAGTAAAAAAAATTTATGATGAAAATCAGTGTTGATCCTAGGTTACTGGTGGTTTAAACGGAAGGCACAATTTTTAAAGTTTTACCCGGAGCCATTTTTTGGAGTCCATTATTTCTTACTGAATTGTATATCAGCAAATTTTTAAATATTTGAAAGCCTACCATATATAGAAACTAAGAAGATATGTCTTTTCACTTTGTAAGTTGCTAATTTTGTATATTGCCCCATCAAAAATCAACTTTTTATATCTGCAAACAATTTTTTAGGTTTTTTAGGCAGCAGTTATGGATAAAAAATGACATTAAAAAATTCAATGTAAAGGTTTTAACAAAGTAAACTTACAATTGTTTATAATAAAAAAAAATAGTATGTTTTCTAAATTTTCGTTTTTAAAGGGATCCCTAAGTGGTCCTAATATATGATCTCATATGAAAGAGCATAAAAAAAAATATGTTTTTTTCTTTTTCACTAAATTGTAATAATAAGGGCATAATAACAAAAAGCAATCGCCAAAATCACTGAAAAAAGCTTCATTTTGATTTTATTTAAATAGCATTGAAACTCAATTGTTGCTCGTTATAAATCACATTTGTACGTCACAACAACTTTAGAATATCTACTTCGATTTTCAAGTCAATAAGTCAAGTTTTAATTATTTCAATCAGTTTTGCAAAAATAGTAGAATTAGGTTGAAAGACGTTGTTAAAAAAAAGTCATTAAGTAATAGTGATTTAAATAGTTTAGAACTTATATAAAAGTTTAATTTCTAATAAAATGTCTATTTAACCTAATCAATTTGAACCAAAAAAAAAAAAGCAAAATTCAGATAAATATTAATTTAACTAAAACTAACTCTAATTGTAATAATTTGCTTCAAATTGAGCGTGATATTCAAAAGACAAAAATTAATCGCCTCTATACTGGCGTTGAAAACTGGTGTAAATGCGGAAAATGTCTTATCAAAAAGAGTGTCTGTGTTGCACTGAAGTTAAAGAAATAATGATCAGAACAGTTTTTTTTTTACACTTTATACTATTATTTTATTTAGTGTCAACTGCGTACAAAAAATATACTTTATAAATATAAATTTATAAATTATGACCATTCTTTTACTATCAATAAAACATTTATTGCAAAAATAATTATGTTTTCAGATCAGAAGTGTAGGATTCCTAACTGGATGCATTCTTCAATATCCACAATGGATAGCGATGTCAAGTTTGAAAGATAGAGAAGGATCATAGATGCCATCAACATTTAAAGAAACGTCTAATAGGTACTTGAAAAGAATTTAGAAAAAAAATTTTTAAGCAGAATAAAAATATTATATTTTGAAGTTGGAATAGTCTAGCGAAAAATAAAATATTTCATTAATTTAGACATTTTGTAGGTAGTTAATAGATAATTTTTCCGTTGTTTATTATTATTTTCTGTTATTTATTATTATAAGTATTATTATTATTTAGTTATTATAATACTCTGTTTATTATTAATATTAATATTAAATACTCTGTTTATTATTAATATACACGATGAATTATTTTATACCCTTTTTTATATTTTAAAAAATTATTTATTGCGTTTTGTTGAAAAATATATCTTAAAAATTGTTTAGAGGTTTATAAGAAATCTTAATCTTTCTTTTTAGATCTTTTAGATATTCTGCTTACCGACAGTTTACTTAGTGGACCTATAGCAAACTTGGGAAATATAATAGGAAAGTTATCCTGGCATGTGTTGTTTATGCAATACGACAACGCTTTCCTGAAGAAAATGGTGTAAACACAAATTTCAATGATAATGAAGAAAAATCTGAAATTGTGGAAGCTTGGGAGTATATTGAAGGGTTTCAACTCAATGAATAATTTAACACATAAAACAGCTATTTTTATAGCCATGCATTAAAATCAATTACGGCGCACAGTTAGAGTAGCTGATTTGTTTTATTTATCTGCTTACCGAATACGTCTTCAGATTAACAATTCGAGGAAATCCTCTTATTGCCAGTATAAGTTTTTTTTAAGGTTTTCCCCTTCTCCCCCCCCCCCAAAAAAAAAAAAAAAAAAAAAAACAAAAAACAATTTATTCAAACAAATTCTTTTTTGCCTTGAATTACTTTAGGCAACTTATTTATCTCTTCCTCAATAGCATTTTCAGGAATACCATTTGCTAAGTTTCAACGATTTACTTATATTACAAACTTAAAGCTGTTTTCAAATGTTACATATTACAAGATTAAAAAGAATTATATTGTGCCAGTTGTACTTCAAAAGTGGAATAGCGAGCGGCGAAAGTTGTCTCTGAGTAGAAAAAATCTTGTTGGTGATGTGAGATGTCATAGCCCTGGCCACAATGCAAAATATTGCACATATACTTTTTTAGAACTCGAGTCTGGGTGTGTCGTGGATTCAACTGTCATTCCTGTGACAGAAGTCACTAA